TTCTATTCTATTCTATTCCAATTGAAATGTGGTAAATTATGGGCCCCTTCCAACTCCGTTACTCTGTAAAAAGAAGATAAATCTTTGTTTCTCACAAGTGTTTTTAAACTATAATGCCACAAAATATATCTGTTCTTGGTAACGCGAGGGCTCCAGCATCTCAAATCTACAGCATAATCAATCCACAAGGACTAAGCAAGAGCATCTAACATACCAGCTGGTGGTACGTGGTTAAGTAGGAAAAATCTGGCTGGAGGTGTGATTGGCAGATGATCAGAAATCAAAAAGTCCCAGTTGCTCTAAGACAAAGGCATGGGAACGAAAGGCTTACAAGCATTTTTCACGATATGCTTTAGTGAGATACATGGCTATTTATGTTCTAGGCTGCCAAGTTGCCTTAGATACATAATTTAATCACTTGTTTAAGCCGCAGCTTACAAGTCTTACTCTCAAACAGCCAGAGCCTTGTAGTTTTGAAAATCTGTTTGTTGGGTATCGGTGTTCTCAGCAATCCTCGACTTACAACAGTTCATTTAGTGACCATTCGAAGTTACAATGACATGGGGCAAAACTCACTTAACCATTATCTTGCTTAGCAACAGAAATTCGGGGCTAACTTGTGGGTGCAAGTAGTAAGGACTACCTGTCCTATTTTCAGAGTTAATTCCTGAAAGGTCGGGAAGATTCCTATAATATAGGCAGAATACAATGAAGTAATAGCTTGAACTCTATATGGGTGGATCTAGTCACTTGCACTTGAATGGTAGTGTTACAAAAGCCCAATTTTCTAATTATTGTTTTTTTTTAAAAAAAACAAACAAACATGAAATAGTACAAAGTTTACATTCAAAGAAAACAGTGATCATATTCCGCAGATGCTCCATTAGAAAACATTGAAGGCTATCAATTTCACTTCTGTGTTAATCTTTCCTAAGAAAAACTGCCAGGAATAAATTCAATGGTGCACTAATAAAAGCAGCTAACCAGTATCTGTGGGATATGGTTAAGAAAAATCCAGATGGCAGCCACAATACATGGCTCTGTCCATTGCACATACAAAGCAGGGCAATCATATCATTGCGGCTGCCATCATTTTTTCCTTCCTTCCTTCCTTCCTTTCTTTCTTTCTCTTTTTCTTTCTCCTCCCTCCCTCCCTCCCTTCCTCCCCACCCCTTTCTCTCTCTCTTTCTCCATTTGGATCAAAGAGAGATCCAACCATCAATTAAGCAGAAATTTCCAGACAGTGAGAACAATTAATTAATGGAACTGCTTGTTTCCAGAAATTGTGGGTGCTCTAACACTGGTGGTTTTTTAGAAGAGATAGGACAATCCTTTGTCTGAAATGGTATTGGGTTTCCTGCTTGAGCAGGGGGTTGGACTAGAAGACCTCCAAAGTCCCTTCAAACTCTTCCATTCTATTCTACTCTACTCTCTATTCTATTCCCATTCTGTTCCTATTTCATTCCATTCCATTCCATTCCCTATTCTATTCTATTCTTCCGATTCCTATTCCTATTCCCATTCCCATTACATTCCATATTTTCTTTTCTATCCTATCCTATCCCATTCCATTCTATTCCATTCCATATTTTCTCTTCTGTTGTTCTATTCCATTCCACTTCATATTTTCTATTCTATTCTATTCTATTCTATTCTATTCTATTCTATTCTATTCTCTATATTCTTCTACTCTATATTCTATTCTATTCTATTCTCTGTATTCTGTATTTTCTATTCTATTCTGTTTTTTTTCTATTCTATTCTCTCTATTCTTCTATTCCATTCCATTCCATTCCATTGTTTCTGATTCTATTTTATTCCATTCCATTCCATATTTTCTGTTCTGTTCTATTCTATTCTCTTTCATTAAAATGTAGTAAATTATTAGATCTAAGGAAAAATCTCATACATGCCCTAGAGTCTAGCAACTAAGGAATGAATGAATGAACGCCTTTGCTTCCATTTTCAAAAGTCTGCATTCAAGAATAAATTCTAAAGAAGACAAAAGACATATGTTAAAAGTTCATTTTAAGACAATCTCAAAGCTAAAACTAGAAACCCTAATCTCATTAAGGGTTCCCTTTCAACAGAGCAGTGACTAAACAGCTATTCATTCTTTAGGATAAGTAAAGCCATTTTAAAGACCTTTAAAGGAAAATTAAAATTTAAGTTAATCGGTACACAATTGTACCACGAGGAGCAACATTTTCCCAGAAGCCTAGCAAATAGATTTGAGGGGATTATTTTTATGTGCACCAGAATAAGAGCAAACAAGAAATATATGCATCCAATATGCCTTCGTTCATCATTCACCCCAGGACTAACTTGGTTTAAGAGAATTAATGTGATCTGTTGAAAATGCAAGTCCCTTTGCTTTCTCATTATACTCAAGTATTAAAAGTTTACAATTCAACACCACACATGACTCAGACACATTAACTTCTCTTCCAAGGCCCTTCACACTTTCTTTCCCCTAAGAACCTGCAGAGTGACAAAAAAATAAAAGACACACTTGCAATTTTTATCAGCATGAACTATCAGTTTTCGAGGACACCACATCAATAATCCGCAACTGGAGCTGAGAAATTGACAAAGATGAGTCTTTGTGCAAAGGGTGGTCCTTACTATTATTGTGCAGAAAGTACTTTGATTTTTCTTTAAAAAAAATCTGTGTGTACAATTCTTGACTTACCATTTATTTAATGCCCATTCAAAGTTAAAATGGCACTGACTTATGGCCATTTCCCCACTTACGACCGTAATATAGTGGTCACGCAATCAAAATTCAGATGCTTGGCAACTGCCTTGTATTTATGACATTTGCAGTCAGTTGCCAAGGGTCTGAATTTTGTTCACGTAACTATGGGGGTGCTACAATGGTTGTGTGAAAAACGGTCCCAAGTCACTTTTTTCAGTGCCTGTTGTAATTTTGAATGCTCACTAAATGAACTGCTGTAAGTCAAGAACTACCTGTGTATCTATCTGCTAAAACCTGGGAATGTTTGCAGCAAAACCCAAGTAATCAACTCATTTCGACTCTAATGTGGAAAATAATAATCGTTATAGAAGCCGAGTTTTAATATGTTGGGAGATTTCGCCCTCAACTGTTCTGACCCAAACCCTTTTCCAATAAAACAAACATGAACCAAAGGGAACAGAAACCTTTTAATGGTTCTTACGAATCCCCAGTTAAAAGGCTGCTGCAAGCTAATTAACTTTGATAAACACGAGCCTTGCCAAAACTGTGCAAGGCTGCCAAGAATAACAGATAAGGCTACCTAGAAATACTTCACAACACAAGAGTCTTCAAATACCAGCTAAGATACTGCAATGTCCACGAGGCTCGAGTTTCAAAACGTCTTTGCTTCCTGCAAAGAACTTTCATTTCACAGCTGGCTTTTATCTTCTTGAAGGAGGGGCCTTATTCCCGAGTTGCCCGTGCTGTTGCAGCTGCTCTTTCCTGTGAGCAATCCTGCGCACTTGGCACAGGCTCCTTGGGAACCTCCTCATCACTGCTGCCAGCCCCCACAATCTCTGAAGTCTACTTCCTGATGGTTCCGGCCCCTCATCTGAGTCCTCGCTCTCCTCAGCCATCTGCACCTGCTGGCGGCTAACCACAACATCAACTTTGCTTTCTCGCTTCTTATCTATTCTAGAGTTATTCTGGAGTTATCATAAATACCTCTGGACAAGATCTGGATCCCCACTGGTGTAGGGTCTCCTGCTTGGGCGGGGGGAGGGGGACTAGATGACCTACAAGGTCGCTTCCAAATCTCTTAATCTGTATCTTTATCAGTGTCCCAAGATCACAAGATCCCCTTTTGTGACCTTCTGCCAAGCAAAGTCAATGAGGAAGCCAGATTCACTTAACAAAACAACGGTGTTATTCATTGAACAACCGCAGTGATTCACTTAATAACGGTGGCAAGAAAGGTCATAAAATGGGACCAAACTCACGTCACAAATGCCTGGCTTAGCGATAGACATGTGCGGCTCGGTTGTGGTCGCACGTCGAGGACTAGACCTGTACAGCATGCAAGCAATAATATCCACAATATCTAAAATCGATCAGACAAGTTTTGATTCCATTCTGACAATTCTGAGAAACATACAACGAAATGTTAAGTACGGCTAACTTCCAAAGATTCATTTTGCCCGATTTTTCAAAGGAAAGAAAACCTACTTTGCATCATTCCAGATTTTTTTTTCCTGAAGAAAACCCAATTAGCAAATACACAATATTAGCAAATACACAAATAAAAGGTAAATGTTCCCCTCGCATATACATGCTAGTTATTTCTGGCTCTAGGGGGCGGTATTCATCTCCGTTACAAAGCCGAAGAGCCAGAGTTGTCCAAAGACGTCTCCGTGGTCATGTGGCTGGCACAACTAAACACTGAAGGCACACGGAACGCTGTTCCCCTCCCACCAAAGTGGTCCCTATTTTTCTACTTGCATTTTTCTTACATGCTTTTGAACTGCTAGGTTGGCAGAAGCTGGGACGAGTAACGGGAGCTCACTCCATTACGCAGCACTCAGGATTCGAACCGCCGAACTGCTAACCTTTCTGATTGACAAGCTCAGCGTCTTAGCCACTGAGCCACTGCATCCCCTCAAATGCACAAATACATGATCTTTAAAAAAAAAACTGGACTCACCGAGTTCGTTGAGACTCTGAGCAGCTTTGGTGATCTCTCGGCTTCCACCTTGAAGTTGGCCTTGAAGTCTTTTGCTGAGGTACAAGATCCGTATGATTCTCCTCAGCAGGTCACAAGCAGCCTTGGGAAGAAAACATCAAATTAAGCATGCGTTATTCAATACGATTCACGATTATTCAGCATTAAGGCAAACCTGACCTCCAAGTGGCCTCAACGGCTCTCTAAAAGGATGCAAATGACCAGCTGTCTGCAAGGAATATAAATCCTTCCGTTCCCCCACCATTCAGTCAGAGCTGAAGAAGCTTCTTGGAGAAGCGAAATGTCTTCAAAGAAAAAGCAAGAAAGTCCAGTTGCCTCCTGAAAAAAAGCCCCTTTGAGGCTCTCATGGTGTGTTTGACCAACGGTGTACACTAGATACTACCAAGTCATGAACCGAACCACTGTGGGAATCGAGCTTGTATTCTAAGTCCAGTAAACATGTTTAATGCTGAATTTCCATTTCCTTTCCCTTTCCCATTTCCATTTGTTTCCTTTCTGTTTCCCTTCCTTTCCTGTTCCATATTCATTATTTTCCTTTCCTTTTTTCCTTCCCTTTCCCTTTTTTCTTTTCTTTCCTTTCCCTTTCCTTTCCCTTTTTCCTTTCCTTTTCCTTCCCTTCCCTTCCCCTTTTCATTTCCTTTCCCTTTCTCCTTTCCTTTCTTCTTTTCTTTCCCTTTTTCTTTCATTTCCTGTTTCTTGTTTCCTTTCCCTTTCACTCTCTGTCCTTCCCTTCCTTTCCACTTTCTTCCCTTTCCCTTCCTTTCCCCTATTTACAAGGAGACCCACAGCATAGCAGCAGTTTTCACTAATCCGTTTTCCAGTCAATCTAAATCAGGATTAGTTCATCCGAACTGGTCAAGGATCACAAATCTGGAGCCTGATCTTATTTATTTTGTGCGCCTCACTCACTGTTTCAGGATTAAACCATGGAGATTAAACATACCACACTCCAAATGTCAAGCCGACTGTGGATGCCCCCAATTTATTCCTCACAGTAACACTTCAAAAGCCAGCACGTGTTCATCGATTACCAGGGTTAGCGTGACTTTCAAATACATGTCAGGGAGAAGTGGCACCCTTTCCACCAACTAGTTTTCTGCAATTAAATCTTCAGCTAAATGAACTTGCTTAATGACTTTAATTATGTGTACGGAGGCACCAGTATAAATCATTCGCAGCACAATTGCGGTTCTAAAGCCATTCAGCGATACAAAACTCGTGGACTATGCAACGCCAGGGTTTGGATTATGTTCCTCGCTAGCATAACAGCTCCATTTCGTTCCAAAGCGGTACATTTTAATTGTTGCACCCCCTGAATAAATTATGCAGTTATAAAGAGAGGGATTTTCACACGTGGTAATCAACCTCTCGCAATTTTAATCCGTTACTTTAAGCAAAACCTTTTCCTCCTTTAATGTGTAATTTGAGTAACTTGAGCCTCCCGAGATGCACAAGCCTACAAATCGCGCAAAGGATGGAAAAACGCAAATAGTACAAGAACTGAACTATGCAAGAATTACGTTTTAATAGTCTTTTCCAATGCAGGGTGTGAATTCTACCAATAAGTGAATGCGAGGTTGGTTGATCTTTCCTACATGTTTTGGTATCTGAACTTGAAGATCCATAGGGTTTTTTAAAAGGCAGGCAGTTGGAAAGAGTCCAGCTATAAAATTATTCTAAAAGCAGATATATATATTTTTTAAAAAGCTATTTTTAGTCACTTGGGATTTTATACAGGCCGCTGGTTCATATTTTGGCTCTTCAAAGTAAATTCCTGTGATCACAAGCCTGACATATCAACAGCTGAACAAACAATATGGCAAGGAAAAGAACGTGAAGAAAAGAGAGCTCCATTTTATTTTATTTTTTAACTAAAATTGCCGAATGAAAAACACTCTTTCTGGTTTCATCACAGTTTTTCTGTATTTATAATCTGCTTTTCGTAGCTTTCAGTTAATGTAACCTTCCAGGAGGAGATAAGAAAAGAGAAATACAGGTAGTATTTGACTTACGACTAAAAAATAAAAGCCAATGCAATCCTAAAGTTGCATTAACAGAGGGACACAATCAAGATCAAGTAAGGTACTAATACCACTCTATAAAGCCTTAGTAAGACCACACCTAGACTACTGAATCCAGTTTTGGTCATCACACTATAAAAAAGATATTGAGACTCTAGAAAAAGTGCAGAGAAGAGCAACCAGGATGATTAGGGGATGATTGGAGGCTAAAACATACGAAGAACGGTTACAGGAACTGGGCATGGCTAGTCTAGTGAAGAGAAGGACCAGTAGAGACACGATAGCAGTCTTCCAATATTTGAGGGGCTGCCACAGAGGAGGGGATCAAGCTATTTTCCAAAGCACCCGAAGGTCAGACAAGGATAATGGATGGAAACTGAACAAGGAGAGATTCAAGCTGGAAATGAGGAGAAATTTTCTGACAGTGAGAACAATCAACCCATGGAACAGAAGTTGCCTTCAGAAGTTGTGGGAGCACCATCACTTGAGGCTTTCAAGAAGAGACTGGAGTGCCATCTGCCAGAAATGGTGTAGGTCTCCTGCTTAGACAGGAGGGGGTTGGACTAAATGACCGACAAGGTCCCTTCCAATAACTCTGTTATTCTGTTATACTGTTGAGGCTATTTTAGGCATGATATCAAGGGGACTTGGAATTTTAAAAAGCATTAAAGGGAAATGCAGCAGAACTAAGATAGCACATAAAGAAATGATGCTTCTTTTTATAAAGCTTACTTCCAACTCCTTGCTATAGGTAGTTCTCAACTTACAACAGTTCACTTAATGACCCGTTCAAAGTTACAACAGCACTGAAAAATAGTGACTCTCGAGCATTTTCACACGTACAACTGTTGCAGCGTCCACATGATCAAACCTAAGGCATTTGGCAACTGACTCATATTTATGACGGCTGCAATGATCCCCTTTTGTGACAGGGAACAACAGGGAAGCCAAATTCATTTAACAAATGTGTTACGATCAATTCACCTAACAATTGTGGTCAGAATGGTCCTAAAATGGAGCAAAATTCACTTCACAAATAGTCTCACGTAGCGACAGAAATTTTGGGCTCTATTTCAGTCGTAAGTTGAGGACTCCCTATATATAAAGAAATAACGCTTCTTTTTATAAGGCTTACTTCCTTATACAGTCTACTGAGAAGGTTTGAAAAAAGTGAGAATTGGGTCCATGAATCACAATATAATTGAAGCTGGAGAAAACAGGACATCAATTCTGAAAAACATGGGGTTTTTTTGACCTAAAAAAACCCAACTGTCAACAATTAATGATCAACACCCAGCCATTTTTAATATTATGTCAGGTTTAAAACAAGCTTCTCAATGTCCATAATGCTAAATACTATTTGCAATTTGGTTTCCACAAATTCCAAAAAATGTCTCACATATATATAAAATATATATATCAAAATATATATATCAAATATATCAAATAATATATAACATTTTGAATTCTTGGGAAGTGAAGAACAAGGACCAAATTCTAAACTGAAGCTGCAACTAAATTTAAAATGAGGCAAGCCTTGCAAAAAAAAAAACTGGCTTGTAAAGGCAACAAATAACTAAATGAGGAAAAGGCACTGGAAAAACATGTGTGCGTGTGTGCATGTGTGTGTGTGTGTATCCATGCGCTTTTACCAATTTTGCCATGCAAAAATTTCCTTTCTGCTTGCATTTGGTTTTTGTTTTGTTTTTAAACTCTGAGAGGATTTTTGTGTGCGTGTGTGAAATGTTCACCATTCTTATGCAATGATTTTAATTATTTATTCTGGGAATGTGTTTTCCCCTTTTCTCCAACAAGTAACTATAGCAACCTTGTAGAGCCCTCCAGGAAAAAAAAAACCAATCCGGTTATCTCTGTCCATCATTAATTCACTCCCATGTGGAAGTTGCAAAACCTTCTTCTAAAATAAAAATATCCTTCACGTTTGTTCCTCGTGCCATTGTTCTGCGGCTCTCTGAAATACTCCTTTTGCAGCCCAAAAGAAAGGGAGAAAAAAAGAACATTTCTGAAGGAGGAGAGAAAAAAAGAATAACTTACCTGAAGCCTTGCTAACTGTGCCGTGCGGGATACGATTTTGTTGTAGGGTTCAATAATTTTGGCTTTGATCCTGAGGCAAAAAAAAAAAAAAAGGAACCGCGTTTTAGAAAACAGGGTGATACACAAGAATTTAAAAACTTTCCACAACGGGATACAGATCTGGCATACCTGTCAACGGTGCTCTGGAGGGCGCTAATTCTGGTCTGCATCATTTCCAGAACACCTGCAAGCAAAGATAGAAGAACCGATCAAAATTACTACTCCGAGTGAAAGAAATTTGGTTTTTGTTTTTTTTTACGGTTGAGGAAAAGAACTTAAAATAAGCTTGGAAATTGCAGGATTTATAATACAGGTCGTTCTCGGCTGGCAACGGTTTCAGGTTGGCCCTGAAAAAACATTTTTCACCTTTACAGTGCATCCCCGCGATCACGAGATCCAAATTTTAGGCACTTGGCAGCTGAACTTGTGTTTACAATGGTCGCAGCAGTCTGGGGATCACCCTTTTTTTTTGCGGCTTCTCTGAGGAAAAAAGTCAAGGGGAAAACCACTGTGTGTCTCACTGAACAATGGCTGGGATTCGCTGAATAACGGTGGCAAGAAAGAAGGTAAAACGGGGTAAAACTCACTTAAGAACTGCCTCACTTAGCAACGTGAATGTCGGGCTCAATTGGGATTGCAAGCAGGACCCCAAACAGAGCCCAAAATTTACATTGCTAAGTGAGGCATTTGTTCAGCAGGTTTTGCCTTGAGTTACGACCTTCGTTGCCGCCGTTAAGTGAATCACAACAGTGGTTAGGACCCAAGCCCACCCCCTCTTCATCCTAGGCCATGCAGGGAGGAATGGAGAAGGGAGCAACATGGGTTGTGGCTTACAGGGGAGGAAACGGCCCTGATACCCTTCATTAGCCATATCTGGGAAGAGAGTTTAAAAGAGATACATGCTGAGTGAGGCGTCTTCTGCGAACAAACGTGAGTTTATCTTGTGTGTACTTTGGTTATCTGTGTTCCTGGCATCCTCCCAACTGGGTTGTTTTATTACCATGCCTTCACATCTGGAATTCTTGCTCTTGCCCTGCTGGACTAATTACCTCATCTTGCCTTGATTGGATTTATAGTTACAGTTTTTGTTGACCATGTTTTGGACTTGATTCTCTGCAGCCAAAGGCTGTTCCTGGGAGAGTTTTTCTCCAGCCAGAAAGTAACCAGGACTTTGGGGGCAAAGTTGGAGCTAATAAAGGGGCTCCTACTGATTATCTGTGTTGCCTTTGTGTCACGCCCCAGGTCATCACAGTAACTCAAGCCCTTCCTGGGTTTAATGTCAAACTTAAAAAGATTTGTGGTAGTCGGGTGTTAATCACACCGCAAACATACTGCATTTTTGCTTATGGCCATTATTTCTAGCCTGATTTTAAGACTACAAGTCTTCTAAAGCAGCTTACAAGAATAATATAAAATCTGCAGAAGAGGAAAAAAATCCACAGTACGTATTAGGTTAAAGCTAACAAAGGAAATTGGGGATCCTGTTGTAAGTTGAGGACTGCATGCAGCTGCTCAAAATTTGCTTAAAAACCTTAAATGATACATAACTACAAGAATCACGCTGTTCTACTGTTTAAAAATTCTCCCAGCTAGTAAATTCCTTCTGGAAAGCTTCCACCACCTCTTGATTCTCATCCTCTCCTTAGGAGCTAGGAAAAGTAAAAATTCCCTATAATAAAGGAGAATATTTGTAGCTCAGGGTTGACAGGAGGGATCCTTGGTGCTCTCTGAGCTTGGTGGTTTTCTTGTAGACATTTCATTACCATACTAGATAACAACATCAGTAGTAGATAAGATAGTAGATAGTAGAGATAGATGGGTGATGGATAGATGATACATACAGTAGATTAGATAGATGGATGGATGGATGGATGGATGGATGGATAGATAGATAGATAGACAGAGATAGATAGATAGATAGATAGATAGATAGATAGATAGATAGATAGATAGACAGACAGACAGACAGATAGTATGACAGAGCCAATAAAGGAGAATATTGGTAGCTCAGGGTTGACATGAGGGATCCTTGGTGCTCTCTGAGCTTGCTTGTTTTCTTGTAGACGTTTCATTACCATACTAGGTGATACCATCAGTGTTAAATAGTACTGATAGTAGACAGATAGTAGATTGCAGAGATCGATAGGCAATGGATAGATGACTGAATAGCTAGCTAGCTGGATAGCTAGCTGGATGGATGGATAGGTAGGTAGGTAGATAGATAGATAGATGTAGAGTCAATGAAGGAGAATATTTGTAGCTCAGGGTTTACATGAAGGCCCCTTGGTGCTCTCTGAGCTTTCTTTCTTTCTTTCTTGCAGACATTTCATGACCAAACTAGGTAACATCATCAGTGCTAGTGACGATGTTACCTAGTTAGGGTAAGGAAAACAAGCAAGCTCAGAGAGCACAGAAATTTCTCTGTGACTGGGGGAAAAAAAAAAATCCCGCGATGCGCCCCGGAATCCAAACCTCATCTCCATCCAGAACCGTCAATCACACAGGACAAGTGGCTGTTAACAGCAGGGCTAAAAAAAATATGAACCCAGTTGCTCAGGCACCCTTGCTCTGCTGACAGCTCCTACTATTAATAGCTACGGTGGTACATTTTACAAGGTTTTTTCCTGGCAGCATTCGGGTCCAGCTTTTGACAGGAAAAGAACGGCGGTTGGATCCTTGGGGTGAGGGGACGGGATCCATCCAATAGGTGAAGATGAAAATAGGTAATTAATCTTTCTACATGCTACAACCCACTTCGTTCATATTTAAGAGTCAGAGCACCCATAATTATTCCTGGTTTGCAAAAAAAAAAAAAAAAACCACCCTAATGGGAAGAGATGCAACCAAATATAATAATAGCAAACTGATTAAGACTCAATGATGAAAATTAATACATTCCGGAAATAAAATCATTGCAAAAAATTGACAAAATGTACAGCTGAGCAGCGTAAATGCCTTCTAAATGGATTCCTATTTTTATTTTTAACCAGTGTCTCAGCCCCTGGCAGCTGAATATCAGAATTTCCAAATGGGAAAAGAAAAACTATTCAAGACAAAAAGCAAAACACTAACATTTTCATGGCATTCAGTTATCAAAAGACAGGCCCTTTCGGTGTTTCCCTCCCAATGAGGCTACAATAATTATATTTTCACACATTTTTCAGATGTATCTTTCAGGCTACAGATATGCCATCCTAAGTACAAAGTCATTTTTCTGTAGGAGTCCAATTCTATATATGGACCCAAGAAGGCTCAGCATACGGACATGAGGCAGTAAGTATGTGTCAACCCCCACATTTGTCAATGCTTACTCACTTACACATAAAGGAGACAGGATTCAGACTCAATACCATGCATTATTGAACAGAGTGGAAAGTGTATGTATTAGGTTTGCCATCTAATTAATGTGTCTTCCAGGCTGTCCAACACTTTTGGTGTAACAACAGGCTCAATTCGGAGGTGGAAATAGCTGTGGGATGGGATTGAGATGGGACTGGGAAGGGAAGAGGGGTGGGATGGGATAGAAAGGAATAGAATAGAAAGGAAGGGAAGTGATGG